TGTCATACGAGTTATCAACCAACATCAACCCCTTCATCGACTCACATAAGCGATCGAAACACTTTTTTGAAAAATGATAGTTAACTTTTAGGTTAAGCATTCGAGCAACTGTCGACAATTGTAAATGCTTATCACAATTAGGCCAAATCTCTCTACGTGATGCATTCAACATATCATAAAAGTGTTGGGTGCTAGGATTAGGAATCTCCTCCATGTTGGACGAATCAAAAGATGGACCGATTGCATCCATTACCATACTTTGATATGGGTTTTAGGGCTCACTAGAACTACCTTCGCCTATATAATAATTTCTTGAAACATGCGGACTCCTAGAAGTTTCGGATGTCATATAGTCTTTAAATTCACCATGATGCACCCAATTATAATATCCCGGGACAAAACCTTTATGGCACAAATGATATTTGACCATTTCAATCTCTTCATAATTTTGGTTTCGACACTTATTGAAATTACAAGGACACCTAATTTTGCTTTCGTCCATACATTCAAGATGCTCAACGACAAAAGCTAAAAATTACTCTACACCTTTAACGAATTCATCATTTAACAATCCATTTACTAACCTAAAATTCATCCATTGTCGATCGAGTCTCATTTTTTAAATTACTGTAAAAAATAACATAATCATTGTAAACAATTACTTCTCATCATTTCGAATTATTTTAAATAAATATTAAACAATTATTTTAGTTATATAATTATCTTCATTTAGTTATTAATTTTGTTTTTGAATTTTACTTCCTATTTAAATAAATATATAAGGAATGCTTAAATTTTTTAAATAACTACTTAATTTTTTAATATTCAATAATTGTTTGTTTCTTTTTTTAAATTTTCAACCTTAAGTGCTATATGTTATAACGTTAACTTAAACTAAACAAAACAAATAACCTAATTTACAATACCTTAGGTAATTTACAAGAATTACATTATCATTTTTTTCTTAAAATACATAAAATTTTATACTTGTTTTATGTTAAAATATGTTAAATTACCAATGAAATAAATAATTTATGAAAACATTCAACTAAAATATTTATTTAATTCTATTAATTATCTATATAGTTATATAATTTTAACATTTTAAAAGTAATTTTAGTAATTATATTATCATTTTCACCTAAAATATAAAAAATTTAGATTTTAACAAGTAAAAAAACATTAATTTACATTATCACCTACATAATTTTTAAAAATATTCAACTAAAATATTTATTTAATTTTATTAATTAATAAATTATTATAAATTTTTAATCTTTAATTTAATTTTTTAATTTTTTTTTGGTGTAATCAAATCATTATACATGTGATATTATTTTAATTTTATTAATTAAAGTAATAAAATTACATATAAAAGTTATATTCAAATGTATTAAACTACATTAACAAGTAATATAATTTCCAAATTATATCTAAACAAACAACTCATCAAATTAAACTATAAAAATTAAAAATAATTAAATCAATTAATAATACTAATAATTTAAGGTTAAAAAATTAAATTTTCATCTAACAATAGAAAATTAAAAACATTTATATTTTTAAGATTTACGTTAACATAAAAATTAACAAAACAAGATAATTAGCAACATAAACTAAAATAACAACTAATTATCAAAATAACAACAAACTAAAACTTAGCAAAATAAATCTAACGAGTTATCAAAATAAAATAACAACTAATAAATTAAAACTACTACATATCAATTAACAAAACAAGATAAATAACAACTTTCAAATAATTAATAAACTAATAAACAACAAAATTTAGTTAAAATATATAACATTCATCTAACTTAAAAAAAAAATGAGAGAGAAAGTTTTACTCGGCAAATGAAGTTTATATAGCACGTAACCGATACTAATTAACAAAACAAAATAATTAGCAACATTCAAATAATTAATAAACTAATAAACAATAAAATTTAATTAAAATATATAACATTCATCTAACTTAAAAAAAAATTGAGAGAGAAAGTTTTACCTAGTAAATGAAGTTTATGTAGCACGGATCCGATCCAATTTTGAGGACGAAAGATAACCCTTACTTTGTTAAATGCTATGGAAAAAAATTTATTTGCATGAGCCGGCTTGAGTGGCCATTTTTTTGGTCGGCGCCGGAAAAGGAGGTGTAGTGTAGGTGAGAGAAACAAATGAAGACGGGTAGGGAGGGGTATATATAAGGAAAATAGCAACGGAATCAAATCCGTCGCTAAAAGGGCGAAATTTCCCCCCTTTTGCAATTTGGGGGGGGATAGCGATAGACCAGCCGCCGTCGCTATTTCTCGGGGAAAATCTCTCCTAATAGATAGCGACGGACATATAGTGACAAAATTAATTCGATCGCTAATTTTATATTTAGCGACCGAATATCCGTCACTAATCCGTCGTTGAGTTTGTTTTAGCGACGGATTTGTTTACGTCGCTAATCTTCCATCACAAAACCATCATAAAAAAATATTTTTCCCTAATCCGTTGCTAATTAGCGACGGATTGGATTCCGTCACTAAATTTTATCACTAAAACATTTTTTTACGGTAGTGTATTAAGACTATATACATAACAATTTTAACCTTACAATTGTAATATGATATTTTTTAACACAAATAAAAATACATACATAGATGTGTTTATGTGTATAAATAAATAAAAATTCAATAAAAATCATTATTAATAAAAAAATTAAACACAATCTAAGATAACACTAATTTTCGTATCATGCACAAAATAAATGAAATCTCAAGTACTAATCAATTCATTTACAATTTAGTTTCGCAAATTAATCATAAGTGTTTGATTTGCTCGTGTTTGCACTTGCTCTTCCGATAAATGGTCAAATTTACACAAGATACGTTTGAAATCATGTACTGCAACTTCTTATTTGATCGAAATTTGAGTAAAAGGGGACAATTTAGTGTTAAAAATATAGGCTTAACATGCAAAAGTTTTGCTTTTTTTTTTTTTCAAAAAGGATATTTATTTATTGAATTTGTATATTTTTGGTAGTGTTTTTAGCAAGAATCTAAGTTGACCAATGCTAGCATGTTATGCATTTGATGAATTCGTCAACCAAGAAAATGAAGAGAATTTGAGAGGGATTGAGTTTCGCAGTTGATGGAACACCATAGCATGCGCAGGAATTGTCAAACATCTCCGGCTTTTGGACTTTTTTTTGAATTATGGTTCTTCGGTAGGCTGCAAGTAGCTTCATGGGAAGATTTGAAAGTGGGTTTTGATAAAGAAAGTGTATGTAATAAGTTTTGTTGATGTTTATTTTGCATTAAGTGATTCAGATAATGCGAGTTAAGGTTTTTTATGATGGGATAGAAACACGGATGATGAAAAAGGTTTCCTCTCTTTTGAGAATGAGGATAATAGAAATCTTTTTAATTAGTTTGCATAATCAAAGTTATAAGAATATATAAATGTTATATAGTCATATTTAAAAAAATTTAAAAATCTTTCAATCGAGCGTGTTAATAAAAAAATAATAAGTTAACAACTTTAACTTACCTAATTAAGTAGATTTTGACTCGAATTTAAATTTTAAATATGAGATTATTTAGATTATCAAATAATTTTTTTATATTAAGTATTACGAGTTTAATTTTTTAAGCTACTTAATTAGGCTATCAAATACATCTTTAGACTATTGTTTTTGTGTCATTGTCGACAATTATGCTAATCACTTTTTAAGAAAAAAGTATTGATAAGTTCACTCAAATAAGTTTAATAATACTTTTTTTCAGATCCATAAGTTAATTTTATAATTTATCTTCCAAAAAATTTCATATTTAACTGTCTAGCTATATTACCCTCTTCACATATTTAAAATTTACTATTCAAGTGGTTTTCTTTCTTTGATTTTTTTCTTAAAAAACTTTTCAGAATATCTATTATTTCTTACTTTTAAAGTAGTTTGTGACTGAAATATATATATTTTTTCATACAATTATAGTTAGCATAAAGAGGTACTGTAACTATGTTCAAGCACCACAGTAATTAAAAAAGAAAAAAACTTTTTTTAATTTTCAAATAGAAATTTAAAAAATGTTATAGGCTAAAAAACCCAAATATATACATATAGAGAGAGAGAATCACATAATAAAGCTTGTCGGAAAGTTCTACTCTAAAAAAAATAAGAAGAAGATAGATAGCAATTTTTCAAATTTATGATTCAGATATTATAAGAAATATAATTAAACATTACCTTATAATTCTTTTTTCCTTCCAAAATTAACTTATTTACAATTTTTATTTTTATTTTATCTTCAATATGCAAATTACTTGATTCAATTGGAATTTTTTTTTTCAAAACCTATCTTAATCCATTGGTCGTATATAGGTCAGGACAAAGGGAAGAGATAAGAGCAAGCAGGCCCACTGCTGTTCTGCACCTCACCTGCCATTCTCCCAGTGGATATAATGACTAGCATAAATCATAGAACTAAAGATTTATTATTATCGGACTGCTGAGCGGCACATTACTGTGTTGCAGTGATATTTTTTGCAAACCTAAAGTCTTCTTCTAAAAAATAATTTTCTCTGATACTGATTTCCAACTACATGACAATGGAATCTGATGAAGTTGAAGTTGAATAGGATTGGTGACAAAAATCTTGTTTATATGAAATGAGCACAAAAAGAACTCTGCAGCTTTGCTTTAAGCTAGAAATAGGACAGCTATGGTTAAGGGAAAAAAAAATGAGTAATTGCATTTGTTCTGCTTTCCTGAATAATTTCATCAACTTTGCTTTCAGCTTTTCCAATTACTACATAAGTAATTATTGAAAGAAGGTTTATTCAAAGCGGGCAGTCCAGATTTTACTAGGGGAACCAACTTTGTGAAAGCAATTGCAGAATTTAACATATATATAAAATGAATCCACAAGTTCAGTTCAGATATGTATATATAAAAAGGGAGATGGGAATGGTTACTACTACTAGCAGATGTTACATGTAGACATAGTGTTGTATGGCTACCAGCACAGGGATGGTAACTTGAAGGAGAATGAAGAGGGCAAGTGCCCAGTCCTTCTTATATAATCTGCCTTCTCAGAAGTCTTAACAGCTTTCTCATTCATTTGGGCCTCCGCATTTGTACGTTTCTCTTCAGCTATTCTCTTAGTCGAGGCCAGTTTGTTTGCCAATCGTTCTTGTGCTCGAGCTTTCAGCCTCTCAGCCTTCACCTACATATGCAGATGATACCCCAGTAAGCAGACAAGCAAAAAGATCAAATGTAAAACTTGAGCAGTACTTTCTATAGCAAACCATTTGGCATTATTGTTCCTAGAAATTAATCTTCCTAAACAACAATATATCATTGCAAGCATAGAGGCGTATGCGATGAACAAGCATGAACTTGCAGACCGCATATCAGATTGCCTTTATTTGTATATTTTCAAGCCTGCAAAAGGGCCTTACCTGGATTTAACTAACCATTTGGCGAACCTGGGTTATGGGCTCAGGGGGCAACGCAGACATTCATCATTTCATGCAATAAGAACCCAGGCGATGAGATCTATGCTAGTGTAGGATTCTTGGTAAGAAGAAAAGCAAAATTACAAAAGATATCAATGCAGTTAAACTTTGGTTAATTGGTACGTAATTAACCATCCACACGCTAATTTCTTGCATTTAATTTGGATACGTAGGAAGTCTTAAAGTTGACAAAACCAGCCACGTGTTGGTCTTCATTTCTTCAAGCAAGATGACAATAGGGGCAACACAACTTTTTGGGACCCTACTTGTGCTAACATTGCAAGTACAAACAGAGACATTATAGAAAGCAACGGATCAAAAATGAAGTAATTCTGTCTTGAATGGATCAGTAATCATACCTCCATTTTCCTCATTTCCATTTCGGCTTTCCTCTTCTCATGATTTTCCCAGGCTTGGATCTTCACCTCTTCACGCTTATACCTACATACATAATGAGAACTGACCAATCTTAAGTACGTGAAACCAGATATATAAAAATAGAATTAATCAGATTAAGAGAATGAGCAGAGGTAAAGTCACAGTTTATCACCTTGCCATGTATTTGGCTCGCTCTGCTTCATCCCAAGCCATGGCTCTGGTTTCTAGAGCATTCATCTTTCTTGCTTGATCTGAATCCATATTCTCAGGTATCCTAGAACCATTAGATTTTTGTCCATAGTGCCTTGTTGCTGCACTAACCCCTCTGGGATCAGAACTAGCCTCAACTCTACTTTCATTCATTGCTAAACCTGTTTGATAGCCTTCGTTGCCCTGCAACCCATGCTGGACCCTTATCGGGGTGGAAGATCCTGAAGATATAGGACTCCTCGCCGCCGGTGTAGTAGCTCTAATAGGTGTTGCTGTTCTTGAAGGCTCTTGGCTTGCTATGGGGGTCATCTCAGTCCCCATGTCCCTAACACAGACTGATCTAACAGCAGTCACCGTTGAGTTCTGCACAGGCTTATTAATTCTCCATACTGACTCATCACAATCGACCTTCTTTGTTTCCACTTCATATTGATTTGTGATTGAAATAGAACACCCGTTTGCTGCTTTTCCTTCAGCTTCATCTTCTCCACTTGAATAGTCCTGTTCCATCTGAGGAACCGGAGCTATAAGTCTCCTATCGTCGGCATTTGAGTTTCTTGGCTTGCTTTCTTTTCTATCTCCTCCCCCTCCTCTTGACAATCCCACTAGCCATTTTTGTGCATCATCCCATTTGGATGGTGTTGGTTTGCCTAAAGCTGTTCGGTGATGACCACTGCGGCTAGCTCCATTGCCTTTATGGAACTCAAAACTAATTGCATTGCTATTTGAAATCTCCTGAGTTGGTCCGTGATTGTAACACCCTTTATCCTCCATAGATCTCATTCTCTCAACAATCTTCTCACTCTCAGTCACTCACGAGGACAGAAAAAAAATAATAATAAAGAAGAAGGAGAAGATGTGTGACCAATAAAAAACCCACAAAAGTCCCACTTAACTTGCTATGTGAGTCATGAAGAGTCTAATTCATATTTGTGAAGAGTAGATCCTAAGTCAGCAAAATGGTTCAGATCCTATATTGAAATGAAAACCATTGGCTGCATTAGATCTCTAACTCTGTGGACAGCAAGTCAGTGAACAGACGTGGGACAAACAAATTGGAAACATTAATAAATGGGAATTTGGTGAGAAATCTGCTGGTAACTGCTGTAATAACAATAGAAACATTATTTGCTTGACACTAGCTAACCAGGGATTGCAAAATAGGTTTTTCTGTAATCAAAACACAAAGGACATATTAAATCTAATTAACCACCCACCCTGTGTAGAAAACCTAATAACCTACTTAAGTACTTATACAATAGATTAAAGCACAGATGCCAAAATGTTTCCATCAAACAAAAAACAATAATGCTCGACCGTAACCTCTCACGGTCCAAAATATCTGCAACTTCTTTCAGTATGTACACAGCCAGGGACCCCTTTCTAACATATCCAAATAGATAACTAATTCCCCATCTAAACCTCTATCAGTGATCAGCAAGACATGAGAGAGAGAGAGAGAGAGAGAGAGACAGAATGAAAAAGCTAACAATAATGGCAGCTTATAAAAGCCAAAAAGGCTGAAAGCATATAATAGTAGTGCACTTTTATGTTTGGTGTGTAGCTAATATCAGAAACAATCGACGCTTGATAATTGTCTAGAGCCACCAAAAAGATTGAGCAGAGAATTCGTTTTGGTTATGCAAATAACAGGAAAGGCAGAGATGGGTTGGATTTTGCAGGGAAAGAAAAGCTCGTCTGCAGGGAATAATACCTGGAAACCATGAATTTTTGAGAATAGCAGTCATACATGGAATGGAAGTTCAGATCCATTGTACACTAAAAAAATAATATAATGCACGGTTGAAACTCGAAATGTTTGGCAGTAATAGTAAAAAAAAAAAAAAGGGGGGGGCGGGGGGGGGGGGGGGGGGGGGGTTAACTACAAAGCTGTTTCCAATCATTTGATTACATATCAAACCAGTCCTCTAACTCCAAAAATCTAGCATTGTTATTCCAGGAAAATTACTGCAATCCAACTTATTAGTCATTTCCTGCCACAGGCTCACAGCCTAGTACCAGAAAGCTACGGAAAATCGAAACATTTGTAGAGCATAGATTTGTTCGCTCTCGAGATCAATGAATTAAGCCATGGAGATAACTCTCTACAATGTCATCTGCAGAAGAAATCTTTGCAAACAACTTAATTAGTTAGAGATGTGTTATTGGTCTGAAACAAATTCAGTAGATTAATTCATATATATGTGTATATTAAAGAGAAAACTCATTTATAATATATTTATATTTGATTAGTTTAAATTAAAAGTATTTTAAATTTTGATTTCAACAACACAACAATGGATTTTTTATTTAAAGCAATAATGCACACAATTGGTTTTTTAACTTTCTATTGAAACAATTTCTGAGTTCCTACTTTTCATACAAACACTTTAGCTTTACTCATTACACAACACGGATATCAATACAAGGACCAACATGAAAAACCAATGAGAGCTTGATGATGATGTTCTTTCAAGTTTTTGTGATCCGGGGACTGGTAACCAGAAAGGAAAGATTATAGAGTATTATGTAATATTAATGTCTTCATTTCTTACATTGATTGTTGTGTACCGTTTGTTTTTAATTAGTTAGTGCTTCTTTTAAAAATAAGGTTGTCCTCTTAACGGTAACTAGGATGAGAGTAGCGGGGACACGTGGACGGAATAGATTTGACAAAAGTGTCAGTTGGTGGGGGAGGATAGTGTCGGGCTAAGATTGAGAATGTGGGTTTTCTGACCTGTTCACGTGACTATAATGGGCTGGGTCTGTGGGGCAACAATTTCTGGGTTAATGAAATGAATTGACTGTTTTTTTATTATTATTATTATTGTAATTGGGTCCAAGTTTGACCAGGTGAGGGAACTGTATTGCTACTGTGTTTTCTATGTAGAAGTATGTTCCCAACAGTTTTCGCTGATCATCCGAATTAAATCTTATCTTCTTTGTTAATTAAAAACAGGTTATTCATGTTAAGATTAAGAGATTTATATGAAGTTTACTTTTACAACTTAAATAAAATTTGCAATACTATCCTACCCTTCACCACATCAAGCAAATCCATTGAACTCTACAGCTTGCCATTTGTATTTTTTTTTTTAATTATTATCATTATTGATTACGAGATGAAAGATTCGAAATCGAAATCTTTGAAAAAAAAAACATTAATATTATATCAGTTGAACTATAAGTGATTGACACCTTTTATATGTTGTATCCTTGTTTTCATGATGCTGTTCGAAGCTAAGGATTTGGCATTTTGTGAGGAATATGAGCCACAATAACATGAGAATAATTTAAGTGGGGACCATGTCTTTGTGATTTACTTCAGGGGACCACATGGGATGTCCCTGGGCCTACAGAAGAAGGATGGTCTTCTCAGATCCAGATCAGGAGTTCCAGTTTGTATGGGGGTCATACTAAATGGGCTTGGCAAAAGCGAGCCCAATTAATTATAGAAGTCGGACTTGTGCGTGTGTGTATATATGGGAACTTTAATATATAACAAAATCAGGAATAAATACAAAAAATTATTCGGGAAAAAATATCTAGATCCCAGAAAAATATTTTTTTCTATCCAAATCAAGTGAAAATTTTTCATACTCAAATATGCAAGTGTTTTATCTCACTTGATATTGTTTAGTTGTTTTATTTAGCACTTAATTTGATTACAATATCTTCCTAACCCACCAATGGCATTTTTCTTACTTTGTTGATAGAATGTTTTTTTAGTGTTAAAAATAAGAGGATTTTAGAATCACTTTGTGTATCAATCAAAATTAAATCTCGTTTTATATGATTTTAAAATATATTTTTATAATTTAATAAATTTTATTGAATGTTAGTTGTAAAGGTTAAATTCTTAGAAGTTTTGATTGATAGGAAGATATTAAATCAAGCTATCATTTTGATAATTTACTTATCTTGAATAATGAATTGATACTAAAATTTAAATAACTTTTTGGTTTTTCAATATTGGTTTGATTAGGTCTATCTCTCCAATAGCATTGTATTGATGAAAATTCATAAGACATGGGGATTTAGTAAACTCTTTTTTCAATATATCATACTTATCTAATTTCGTTGTATTTTAAGTATCAAATCTCGTATTATATTTTTAGTTGTAAGCTATTTCAAGTATTTTATAAATAAATAAATAAATCTATTGATCAACCACCATGGAAGTCGTGCTCTATTTTCAAAAAACTTAATATCTATCGCACTTGTGAAATAATAAATTCTCATGCTCTCCCTCCAAAACATAATACATCACTTAATAGGATGTACGGTGTATGATTTTTTACATATTTTATTAAAATATGAATATTAGGAATACGATCGTTTGTAGTTTGTTTGAAATGAAAACTTTTTATAATATATATTTATTGTGTTTGCTTTGCAGTTAGAAATTCATGAAAAAATATATAAATTTATCACTTTAAACTTAAATTTCATGATATCTTATTTTGAAGATACCAATATTCACCTTTACCTAAACAATTATATGCAGAAAGACACATGTTGTGCTGAAAATTAGTATATTATAATGGAACTAGCTAAAAAACTGATTTTTTATTAAAAAATTAATTTGACAAAATTATAATTATTAAGTAAAATAACACATTCACTAAAAATGTTAGAACATATGGTATAAGCAATTGTGTTATTATTGGTAAAAACAAAGGTATATTGGTCCACTTAATCTTAACATAAAGACATTGAAGTAAATGAAAAATATATATTTTTCATTCCCCAAGATTTGAAATGTGATTCGATTCATTTAATAAGGGGTTAATATTTTTCTGCATCCCTCTACTATTTTTATTTATTTATTTAGAATATTTTTCTACTATTTTTTGTGTTAGTATTATCCATGTATGTTGTACTTTATTATAATCCCGTCGGATATGATGTCATTAACACCATTAAAAATTGACACATGTTATATTTCTATAAAAGGGAATTTTCATTAATTTTCATTTTGGTTTTTCATTTTTTTAATTACTTTGTCCTTTTATTTTATTTTTTCTTACAAAAAATTCTTAATTGAAACGTTTTTCATCATTGTATTTTACAATAAATACAATTTAGTCTTTGACTTAATCTTCAATTAAATTCATATTTGTCAAATCGTAACTTTTGTCATAATTCTCAAAATAGACATATGATATCATTGGGGAAAAAATCAATAAAATATCAACTATAATCATGAAAAAATAATCACATCTATTATCAATTAATCCAATCAAACAAAAATTGTCAAGAACTATGAAAAAATGAGTCATTACTTTGCGATATAATTCATTCTTATAATATCATATCTTGATTATGATTTTTTTTTTTTTTTGCATTTTTTATCTTTATTTTTAAGTTAAAATCAAGGAAATAAAATTTGTTAAAAAAAAGTAAATATAGATATACAATACTATATGAATAAAAAGTTTTATTTTTAAAGGAGTATACCCATTTCAACTCAATTGACTCTTATCTTGTCCATCGACTCATTTAAACTATTCGACTACTTCTAATTACATTTATGACTTCACATGTGGGAATTTAATTGAAAAAAATAAAAATTCAATAAAATATAAACCATAATCATGAAAAAATAATCACTTCCATGATCAATTAATCCAATCAAACAAAAATTATCAAAAACTTAAGAAATTGAGCTATTACTTTGAGATAGAATTCATTCCTATAATATCGTATAACTATTATGATTTTTATGTATTTTTTGTCTTTATTTTTTAAGTTAAAATCATGGAAATTTTTTC